AAAACAAGAAAGGATATAAAAACTTCTCACATCATAAAAGGTAGATCTTATGAATCTATATTGAATTTTACCATCAACAATAATTTACATACCTTCTTCTCAAGAGTGTATGGAACATTCACGTAAATTGACTATGTATTATATCACACAGAAGTCCTCAACCATCTCCTTGAAGTAGAACAAATTCAAACAACATTCTCTGATTAGAGCATAGTATAAATAGTAACTTATAAACAGTAAAATATCTTTTCCAACTGAGAATATAAAAACTTTCTACCAAACAACTCTTTGGTAAAAAGGGAAATGCTAAATTAAATTGCAGAATTTCTTTTAAAAATAATAATAAAAACAGAAAATATGGATATAATATGTATATGGGATATAATTAAAGCTGCAACCACAGCGAAACTCATAGCCTTAAACACTTATAGCAATAAAAATGAAAGAATAAAAATAAATGAATTAAAATCCCAACGTGAAATCCTAGGAAAAACAAACATTGTAAACTACAAAAAAGCACAGGAAAGGCAATGGTAAAAATAAAGTAGAAATTATTAGAAAAATATTAGAATTAATATATTAAAGTGTTAGTTTTTGGGGGGAATCATTTGCTAACTTATTTAGGGATAAAAAGGGGGAAGCATAAATATACACAATAAGAAATAACCACTGAAAGAGAGGGAATTAAAATATTTGAGAGACTATTTTGTATAACTTTATGCAAATAATACAGAGATGAAATACTAATTTCCTAGCAAGTTTAATTGCTCAAAATTACTCCATTACATACAGGTGGCTTAAGTAGACTAATTTCCAGAGGAAAAAAATTAGAAAAATTATCAAAAACCCACCCCATTACAAAGGCAATGGGCCCAGATGGCCTCACAAGAGAATTCAACCAAACCTGCAGAGACCAGGTAATTCTAATTATGCTTAAGTTGTTCCAGAACATAGCAAAAGAGAGAACACTTCCAAACCTTTTTTATAAAGCAAGTAGAACATTGCTACTTAAACCTAATGAAGATGACACCGGAAAGGTGCAGTTAATTATTCCTCACCCCACAAATCTAGGAGACTATTTCCCCAACCCCAAACCTTGGGGAAGGATGAATATGGAAAGCCTTGAGATCAGCGTCCCGCAGCACTAGGCATCTACACTGCCGTGCTTGACCTGCTGGGGATACATGAGCCCAGGTTCGAGTTGCTGTAGGCCGGGGGCCTGGCATTTCATGTCCCAAAGGACACAAAGGGAGAAGCTTTTATTTTACCCTCCTACAGCCAGGCTGAGCTTCCTCCTGCCCTGGGCCAACGCTACCATCCCACATGAGTTCAAAACAGCTCCCTTTCGCCCATCCCTCAACTCAGGAGTTTCTCACAGTTCCCTCCATTTTTCCCTCCCTTGCTTTTCTGAGGTGGATTTGGGAGATGGAGTGAAAGAGCCAGCAGGCCTGCTGGGTCCACTTCTGAGGGAGAAACAGAACCTCTACAGACAAAGGAAATTTGACTGGTTTGACTAAAACACAGCATTCTTGAAAGGGAGTGGTGGAAGACAAGGCCAGAAAGTTATTTCAGAATTATGAAGAAAAGCAAATGACCTAATTTTAGCTTTAAACTGGATTTGGTACATCCTTGAATGTTTTCCAGTAAAGAAAGATTTTTATTAAAGTAGTGGTATGGAAAGATCAGTCTAGTTATAATTACTGCAGTATCCTAGACACCCGCTACTCAAAGTTTGGGCCACAGGCCAACAGCATCAGCATCAGCTGGGAACTTGTTAAAACACAAACTCCCAGTTCCCACCCAGGACCGATGGAGTCGGAATCTGTATTTTAATAAAATCTCCAGGTGATTAATGTGTACATTAAAGTATGAGAAATAATGCCAGAGACATCATAAAATACCTGGAAAAGGAAGGGATGGATGCAAGAGAAATTGCACTTCCTAGAAATGGTACAGACCAGAGAGCACAATAAGGTTAAAGATGGGGTTGACTGGGAACAGGTGAAAACTGGCCCCAAAAGCAAATTCATAAGGAATTTGACTGTAGTTAACGGCTTACAGCTGCACTGCTGCTTATTTTCAAATTAACTGAAATTGTTAAATCATAGTAATATTTCAATTTGGAAAAAATCAATAGAAATCCTGCTAGTATTCCTTTAACTCTCGAAGATTTTACATGGCTTATGTTTTTAGTGAAGCTATCCATCTGATTTTCCATTTTCTCTCTTACAATGTGGTAGATTTAGTCTTCCTCCAAAAGTTCCCTTTGTCACTAACCCGGGCATTTCTCCAAGCCCAAAGATAGTAGTGAAAATTATAGGCTCTTCCTACATACTTTTCTTTTTTAAGCAACTAGATCTGGGTTCCATATTAGCAAGCCTCAATCTTTCCCTATTTGTAGAATTTTTTTTAAACATCTCCTTTTTTTAAAACACCTCCACAGTCCTGATCAAAACAGAATGCCTTCAAAAGAAGCTAAGCTCATTGGTGTGCAAGTGAGGGTGTTAGTTTATATAGTTCATATAATTTCTTACCAAATACACTTGAGGTTTTATAAATAATCATGATAGAATTATAGAAACGTGAAAGCATCTTAAAGAGTCAAGTGCTAAAAAAGTTAATAGTTAATGAAGAATGTCATCAATTTGGTTAATATGATCTAAGTAATGTATAAATAATAATATAGAAATAGAAGGTATAATCATGATGAGAGGTAAGCCCCTTTGTGTAACACAAATGTACCAACACTACCTTCAAAATGTTTTACCTTCATGCTAAAGTTAAAACTAGAAAAGATGTAGTTGATCTTAGTAACATCCTGGTTCACTCTCAAGAGCAGAAAGCTTATCCACAGACAGGTTGCACAATTAAATATATAATTACAAACTGAATAGTATAGAAAAAGTCAATTTTTAGAGGTATCTCAGCATTTTTTAAAAATGCCCTTCGGGGCCAGCCCTGTGGCATACTGGTTAAGTTTGTGCACTTTGCTTTGGCAGCCTGGGGTTCGAGGGTTCAGATCCTGGGAGCAGACCTACATACCACTCATCAAGCCATGCTGTGGCAGTGACCCACATAGAAAATAGAGGAAGATTGGCACAGATGTTAGCTCAGGGACAATCTTCCTCACCAAAAAAGACGAAAAAATAAAAAATAAATAAAATGCCCTTCAGAAGAGAGAAAAAGACATTTCTTACAACCTAATAATTTTTAAATTAATGTTTCAATAATTACATATTCTTTTCCTTTGGTCTCTTAATTGCACTTTTTTTTTTTTTTTTGAGGAAGATCAGCCCTGAGCTAACATCCGCTGCCGATCCTCCTCTTTTTGCTGTGGAAGACTGGCCCTGAGCTAACATCTGGGCCCCATCTTCCCCTACTTTATATGTGGGACGTCTACCACAGCATGGCTTGCCAAGCAGTGCCATGTCTGCACCCAGGATCTGAACTGGTGAACCCCAGGCTGCCGAAGTGGAATGTGCACACTTAACTGCTGTACCACCAGGCTGGCCCCTCTTAATCTCACTTTTAAAATTTCTATCCTTTTACTCTGAAACTTACCTAACACTTCCACACTCATCGTAGGCCTCCCACATCTGCACCTATTTTTTCTCATTCTATGTTCATGATATACAATATTTTGTTTCAAAAACTAAAAAATAATGGGGCCAGCCCAGTGGTGTAGTGGTTACGTTCTCATGTTCTACATCAGTGGCCTGGGTTCACAGGTTTGGATCCCAGGTGCAGACCTACACACCACTCATCAAGCCATGCTGTGCCAGCATCCCACATACAAAATAGAGGAGGATTGGCATGGATGTTAGCTCAGGGACAATCTTCCTCAAGCAAAAAAGGGGAAGACTGGCAACAGATGTTAGTTCAGGGCTAATCTTCCTCACAAAAAATGAAAAAGAAAAGAGCCAGACTAAAAAGCAGGTACAGGAAGAGTATTCAGAAGCTCTGCTAGTCTCTGTAATTCTTCTGCATAATTAATTTTTGTTTTCAGTTATTTTAATGAGGTCATAATGGCTTATAACACTGTGTAATTTCAGGTGTACATTATTATCAGTTTCTGTATAGACTGCATCATGCTCACCGCCAATAGTCTAATTTTTATCCATCACCATACATACATACCCCTTTACCCCTTTTGCCCACGGCCCAATTCCCTTCCCCTCTGGTAACCACTAATCTGTTCTCCTTGTCCATATGTCAGTTTACCTTCCACATGTGAGTGAAATCACACAGTGTTTGTCTTACTCTGTCTGGCTCACTTTGCTTAACATCATGCCCTCAAGGTCCATCTGTGTTGTTGCAAATGGGATGATTTTTCTTTTTTTTAGTAGCTGAGTAGTATTCCATTGTATATATACCCCACATCTTCTTTGTCCATTCATTCCCTTGAAGAGATTTGCTTCCACATCTTGGCTATTGTGGATAATGCTGCAATGAATATGGGGATACATAAATCTCTTTTAATCATTGATTTCAAGTTCTTTGGATAAATACCCAGTAGTGAGATAGTTGGATTGTATGGTATTTCTATTTTTAATTTTTTGAGGAATCTCCATACTGTTTTCCACAGTGGCTGCACCAGTTTGTATTCCCACCAGCAGTGTATGACGGTTCCCTTTTCTCCACATCCTTTCCAACATTTATTATTTTTCATCTTGTTAATTATTGCCATTCTGACAGGTGTAAGGTGAGATCTCATTGTAGTTTTAATCTGCATTTCCCTAATAATTAGCGACGTTGAACATCTTTTCATGTGCCTATTGGCCATCTGTTTATCTTCTTTGGAAAAATGTCTGTTCATATCCTCTGCCTATTTTTTGATTGAGTTGTTTGTTTTATTGTTGTTGAATTGTGTGAGTTCTTTATGTATTTTGGAAATTAACCCCTTGTCAGATGTGTGATTTACAAATATTTTCTCCCCATTGGTAGGTTGTCTTTTCTTTTTGTTCATGGTTTCCTTCGCCGTGCCAGATCTTTTTAGTTTGATGTAGCCCCACTTGTTTATTTCTTCTTTTGTTTCCCTTGCCTGAGTAGAAAAAATTAATTTCATTACATATCTAAACAAAATAGGATACACAATCTTTTCTTCCTGAGGAGTTGACAAACTCTTTCTTCATCCCTTGCTCATAAATTTTTCTCAAAAGCGTATATGTGCACATTCCTTCAGGATATGTTGCTCCAGAGAGATTATAAAGACTCTGCACGGAATATCCCACTTTCCCTTATGCTGATCGTTCAGACTTTAAATTGCTTTTTGGACTATCTTACTGTCTTTACCTCACAAAATATTTGCTTTATGATGTCAAAGAGATGGACGCTCTCAATTCAAACGTCTGTTATTAGAACTGCAGTATTCTCACAGAATGACAAAGACTTCAGGAAACAGTTTTGAAATCACAGTTAAACAATTGTTATCAGAATGGGCCTTGCTCCAAGATCATGTGAAATAATTAACTTCCTCATATACAAATCCCAGTGGATTCTGGAAGTTTTAACTGGTCAAAGCAATAAATAAATAAATAAATAAATGAGGCAGTATTTCCTGGATTTAAGTCCTGGGACTTGCCTGTAGGATAATTAATTTTCAATTAAACAGAAGGCAAAAGAAAACAGTGCTATTGAAATCAAACTGGATGGATAGAAAAGGGATCCAAAGTGTACGTTTATGCTGACATATGTTACGGTCTTGGAGAATGGGCCAATTATGAGCGGGTCATTTTGTATGGTCAGTGATGAAGATATTTCATAGATAAGTAACTTTTATCAGTCCTGGTGGAATGGATCTGCACAGAAGTCATTTTCACTCTCTCTTCTTATCCCAGATGAAGTATTAATCTCTACAACTCTGCTTATAATGAAATATGCATGGATTTATTCTCGTATTCAAACCTAAAACTTTCCCTCTAGGTTTAATTTCCTGGATTCCCCATTTTAAGATTTTGTTTTAGTAAAGAAAATTATGGTGGTATGAATTGTCTTTATTTAGCTTGTTCTTATTCTTTTTCCTACAGAATTGCTTTGTGAAAATTGTCCAGTGCATAGAGCTTCCTGAGGGAAAATAAACATGCTCCCTCTCAGTTCTGCCCTACATGCTTTTTAGGGCAGACATGAGATTTGAGAAAATTTCATTTCTAGCAAATTCAATATCCCTCCGCATAATTTTTAGCACACTAAGACAATTATATTCAAATAAATCGAATTTAAAAATCTTAAAGATCAGATAATCTACTATTATTTAAGTTATTCCACACAAAGGAAAAAGATAGAAAGCTCCCCCAACTTATTTTATGAAAATAAGATGATCCAAATTTCAAAGGCCTGATAAAATAGTTTCTAAATGTGTAGATCAATCTCTCTTATGAATATAGATGCAAAATTATAAATGAGCAATAACAAGTCAATTCAGCAGTATTATTAAAAGGCTAATATGATTATAAAGTAGAATTTCTATTAGGAACAAAACCATTGTTCATAATTGGAATGTTTAACATCACATATACAAATACAAGCAAAAAACATAAGACTTATAAAAGGTCAATTAGAAAAATCCAGCAGTTATTCCTATATAAAGAATTCTAAATAAAATGTGATTAGGATGAAACTAAATATGCTAAAGACTATCTGACAAAAATAAACAAAGAGAAAAAGGTAAAATACTGAGCGCATTTTTATTTTTTAAAATCGAGAACAATGTAGGAGTATCCACTGGGGCTATGATTATTAAAAATTATTTACGAATTTCCAGCAGTTGCAATAGTAAAAAAAGTAAAATATTTGCTATAAACGTTGGAAAAGAAAAAAACAAAATAATCTGTATTTGCACATGAGATTATTATGTAGCTAGAAAACCCAAGAAACTCTACTGAAAAACAATTAGAATTCATAGAAAATCGATAAGAGCATACAAGATAAATACACGGCAATCAATACTTTTCCTTTTTTTTAACCATCGGTACAAGTAGAAATGGAAATGAAATAAACAACAATTCTCATAACAACAAAAACTTGAAATTCCTAGGAAGGTACAGTGGCTATATAAAGAAAATAATCATATATTGTTAAACAGAGAGGCACAAAATGATACTGGATGTAAAGACATCATATCATATCCATATTATAACCATTCCAAATTAATATGTAAATTTTAACATAATTTCACAGACATTACAACTTACTATGAAGCTACCATAATTAGAAGAGTATAGTTTTGACACAGGAATAAACAAATTTGGAGAAGAGAACAGAGAATCTAGAATTATATTCAGATACACATGACAAAGTTGGCTTTTAATTCAGTACTACTCAACTAAAAACCCAGATATAAAAACACAAATTTAGACTTTTACTTCATATAACGTATTTTTAAATTCCAGTTGAATCAAATATTTTAATATAATGCAATAAAAATACCAGAAGAAAATCCTTGGTAAAGATGTTCTTAAGCAAGACAGAAAACCAATCATCCATTAAAAAAAAAGATAAGTATATCTGGCTATATAGACTACAAATAGAATCTATAGACCAACTGAAGACTTGGAAAAATATTTGCAGTATATATAATAGCCAAAAGTGTTCAAAAGTTGCTAAGAATTCAAAAATGGACAAGGACAAAAGCTATAGCAGACGACATATAGACCAATCATTTGAAGAGTGTCAATAGAAATCTCTTTTTTTGTGTGTGGTAAAAAACATATAACATTAAATCTACTTTCTTAAAATTTTAAATGTACAATACATTATTGATAATTATATACACATCGTAGTACAGCAGCTCTCTAGAACTTTTTCATTTTGCATGACCGAAACTCTACACCATTGAATAGCAACTCCCCATTTCCCACTTAATAGAATTCTTTTTTGTTATTCTATGTCAATAGAATAAAAAAATTCAAATTAAATAAAAATGGCATCAGTTTTCAGCCTTTAGGTTAGCAATAAAAAAATAGTAACCCCAGTGCTGGCGAGGATGCAGGGAAAAAGACACTCTTTCCAGAGATGCTGGGAATCTAAATTACCACCAACAGTTTTAGAGAGAAATCAAGAATTATGGATTAAAATGAAAACTTCACATACTTTTGATCCAGAAATCCTATTTTTTAAAATGTATCCGACAGGAAAAACCAAAGCATTAATATGTAGTGATATTTCTATAATGATGTTTACTGAAGTAGTATTTATAGAGATAAAAATAAAAATGGAACAACCACCCCTCAGACACCAGCCCAGTCAAAACAAATACCAGCCACCCTGGTGTACACATTTGTTGGAAACTGAGAAATATCAGCTCTTCCTAAAGCTAAAATACGCATTATAATTATAAATAGACATTTTATATTGTATCAATATAATGTAATATAAATACACACACGTTATGTCTTTAAAAGGATTCAAATATTTTACCTGCAAATCTTACACCACACTAAATCCAATTTCCCACTGATAAGCTTTTTTTGACACTTTGGTTGTCTCTAAGAGCCTAGCTGCTAATGGACATAGTATCATAATATTTATTTGACATAACATAATACTATTTGACATAATATAATATTTATTTGACATAATTTTTGACATATTATTTGACATAAATAATACTAACAGAATTTAACTGATTTACATACTTGTTTTCACATACAGAACAAGAAATATATACATTCACTCCATAATATTTACTCCATAGAACATATACATTATATATTGCATAATATATATATAAGATAATATAATGTATAATACATTGACTCCATCAGTATTTACTGAATGCCTCCTGCTTCCCGGTACTCCCCTAGATGTTGGGCATGCTGCAAAACAGCTCTGATTCCCGCTTTCACAGAGTTCATGATCCACGAGGAAGACAGCCGTCAATCAAGTAAACAACCTGGTGAGTGTACAATTACAAACTGTGAACAGGGTGCTATGAAATAGAACAATGGGGGAGGGGTTTCATTCTGTAGATTAGGTCATCAGGAATGGCTTCCCTGAAAAAAATGACATTTCATTTATTAGGGTTGAGAAGTGAGCCTTACGAAAGTAGAGAACAAGTTCTCCAGCCAAGGTAAGCAGTCTGCTTTTTATTTACGAGACTGGCTTATTTTTTTTTAAATGAATCACAATGCCTAACTGGTAATTCATCAGTGCTCAATAAACATTTACTTATTGAATCTGATCACTGGATCCTGCACGCTATTCCATCTCTCTTAGCAAAGGGCTAAGTGTTGAACTATGATATAATGGGCCACTTTAAGAAACAGTAAAATATTTTGAAAGTAACATATTTATTTGCCACTAACACACCAATTGTGAAAGACCTAAGGCATATACACAATTAACTCTTCATATAGCTGTGTATTTGTGGTTGCCATCTTTTTTCCCCATGTCCATAATATTCACAGTTCAAAACTTCCCCCTCAGTATCATCTTTAATTACATGATACGATTCTCACCTGGGAGAAGGAGTTGTGAGGGTTCACAGAGGTCTGAATCAGAATGAGTGAGGATCCTGTGCAGTTTGAAAAGAATTCCCCAGATGTTGTGTGATGCTCTCTTCTAGGAAGCATATCCTTCTTTCCCTCTCCATTTCAGAATAACTGTGGTGTTTTATGATCACTATCATCCAACTCAGTTCAACAGGTAGAGCATTTATTGCCTTCCTATGACATGCTTAGCACTGTGCTCCGTTCCCTCTACGCTCTAGAGTGAGCCGTGCTCTCCCTCTCTGGCTTTTTGGAACCTGGCCTTCTAGTTGCATAATTCCTCTTATTTATCTTCTCACACTACTATTTTTTTAATGAGGTATAATTGACATATTATATTAGTTCCAGGTGTACAACACAATGATCCAATATTTGTATATATTGCAAAATCATCACCACAGTAAGTCTAGCTAACATCCATCACCATACAGAGTTACCAAAAAAATTCTTTTCTTGTGATAATGACTTTTAAGATCTCTCAGCAACTTTCAAATATGCAACACAGTATTATTAACTATAATCATCCTGCTGTACATTACTTCCTCATGACATTTATTTTATAACTCAAAGTTCGTACCTTTTGACCCCCTTCACTCATTTCGCCCACCCATTCCCTCAGACCTACTATTAACTGAGCTGTTTTGCTTTGGGTTTTTTTTTTTTTTTTTGTGAGGAATATTCACCCTGAGCTAACATCTGTGCCAGTCTCCCTCTACTTTGTATGTGGGATGCCTCCGCAGCATGGTCGAGGAGTGGAGTACGTCCACGCCGGGATCTGAACCCTTGAACCCCAGCTGCAAAAGCAGAGCACGCGGAACTTCAACTACTCAGCCACTGGCCGGCCCCTTAACTGAGCTCTTTTGACCATGTCCTCCTCTTAAAACTATCATCTCCCTTGGCACACATGACAACAATCCTGAACAATTTGCTATCGTGGCTCATCTTCCTCTCCTCACCCCATAAATGTTGATTTTCCCTAGTTTTATAATTGGTCACTTAATGTGCCAATCTCATACCCAGATCTGTGTCTCTGACCCAGATCTCTCCCTGTACTCCACATTCTGACCTCCTGCTCCCTCCTGACACCTCCACTGGGATGTCTCACAGACAGCTCACGGTAACACAGACTCTTTCACTTTGTCCTGATCTGTTCTTCCTGCTGTGTTCCCTGAACTCATAAAGGCTCCTCAAATCATTCACAAATCTGATCCTAATCTCTTCCCTCCTCCTCACCTTCTATAGCCAATTGATCACTAGATCCTGACAGTTTTGCCTCCTTGATATTCCTCCATACTTCCCCTCCCCTCCGTGGTTAGGCTCGCAGATCTTGCATGGAGAAATTCAATGGTAATTTTTTTTTTTTTTTAAAGATTGGCACCTAGGCTAACAACTGTTGCCAATCTTCCTTTTTTTTTTAAGGATTGGCACCTGGGCTAATAACTGTTGCCAATCTTTTTTTTTTTTTCTGCTTTATTTCCCAAACCACCCCAGTACATAGTTGTATATCTTAGTTGCAGGTCCTTCTAGTTGTGGGATGTGGGACGCCGCCTCAATGTGGCCTGATGAGCAGTGCCATGTCCGCGCCCAGGATCCGAACCCTGGGCCGCTGCAGCGGAGCGTGCAAACTTAACCACTCAGCCACAGAGTCGGCCCCCTCAATGGTAATTTTTAAACTGGTCTCTGCCTCCTTTTTCACTCTCTCCAATCACAAGCCATCCAATGTATCTTCCATAATTCCACCAAAGGGACTGCATTAGAATATCAAAGTACAGAATCAAATTAAATGTAGTGCTTAATGACAATATTAAGAGGTTAGGAAAGTCAGGAAAGAGAAAAATTATCCACCTTCCTCACCATGGACTCCCTCCAAAAGGATTAGGTTTCCAAGAAACAATGTCACCCAAGATCTCTCTCTTGTGAACTCTACATGTATTTTGACCAAGAAATTCCCATCCTTAGATTGGCTATTTTAAGAGCAAAGAAAATAGGGAAGAGGACAGTCTCTAGTAATTTACAGGAAATCATGCAGATATGTTTCAGGGACTAGTCTCCCCATTAGTGCCCTGACCTGGATCCTGGTAAAATGAGACACAAAGCAGGAAAATTGGAATAGTGATATAGAGTGGCAAGAACAGGCTCCAGGAATGGAAATCCAGGGCCTAGATACACAATTATAGGGTCGCAAAGATGCCCTTCAGGTAATTTACCATCTCACTTTGGGCTTGTCTTCTGATATCACCTCTCACTTCATTGATTCAGGAAGTTTTTGTTGGGCATGTCTTCTGTACCCTAGCTTGAACACTGTAGGATCTGAAAGAGAAATGTAAAACATGGTCCCCATCCTCAGGGAGCTTACAATCTAATGGAGGAGATAACACATACAAGGCAAACATACGTGAAAATATACTAAATGACAACAGAACATAGACAAGTGCAGTAAGGATGACAGGGGAAGAAGCTGGAATAGGTGGGGTCCAATGGCAAGGCAAGGTGAAAGGGAAATGGAGCATGTGCTGGTGTCATTGCCAAGAGATATTGTGATATGTACACATTTCCGTACGCTGCATGTTTGAAGGGGACATTTAGAAGTGTCTCCACCCCCGAGAGTGATGACATAAACCAGAAAAAAAGTGCATAAAAAATGTACTTAAGAAGTAAATCTTCATGAGGGGCTGTGTAATTATGAATTTAAATTTTAAATGTCCTGATAACTTCTTAACCATGATGACTAACAGCTTGGTCCAGTTATTTGGTTCTCTGCCTAAGTGTTGGTAAGAGTCACGTAGAATCATGTCTTCTGCTCTCTGAAGATCAATCAGGGAGCGATGGGTTTCACCGCAAATAGCAAGATTTTCCACCGCAAAGCCCTCCAGGTACAGCTCAGCATTTTGTAGGGGCCTCACATTAAATCTTAAAAGAAGTAAAATGCCCCCCTCTAGTGGCAGATGTACAAAACTGATGGAAACCGCATTGTTCTTTCGTGTTATTCCACAGCAGCCAAGGCCTAGGCCCAGATCAGCCCTCAGGCGTTAAAAGGGTTTGCAATCAGGCCTAGAGAGCCTTAACATGACGCAAGGAACCCTTCGAGAAATGAAGTTCTAGATGAAACCAGACTGAAGTGCTTCAAGATGGGGCCTAGCACTCTAATGACCACCATGACTCTGCACATATGCAGATTTTTTTCTCCAAGGAGTTCAAAATTTGACTTAAAATCCAGCAATCTTGATTGCTGGTTCAATCCTTACCATCTAGAGAAAGCACAATCATTTGGACTAACTGTTCAATAGAAAATTTATTAAAACCTGCCTCTTCTTGCCCTCAGGCAGATGTATGCTTTTTCTGCTCCGAATTCCAATAAGACTTGCTTCTATGTTCGTACAGGTTTGCTTCCTGTTGCCAAGGAATATTTTTAGTCCCTTTGTGGCCCCTAGGTGGATGTGCTTAATAAATTGAATGAATGAATAAATGAATGGGAATTGAATAATAAATGGACACATGGAAATGTGACAGATAGGAAACCAATGACCCTTATATAAGCAGAGAAGAAAATACTATTCCTTGTGCAAATACAAATACGTCCCAGGCTCGTTGCACTAGCTCAGAGGCCACAGCGTACCGCTATAAAAAAAGAGTCAGGAAGGCAAGAATGGCTCCAAATCAAGCCTGGGAGCACTCTTGTACTGCTGACACCAGGAATGGACACTGGCTCTGCCCGCTCCTTGCATAGGCCCTATAAGGATTATTCAGGTGCTGGAGCACAAAAGCAGAGGAGGAGAAACCTGGAAGAAGTTTGGAGCAGGTTCCTCACCCCGCTATCCTCAGGAGATACTCTTCGTCGGGTCACAGAACCAAATGTACAAGTTCATGCTTCCTTGGGGGTTGACAGAAATGTAGTAACAATGGCTCCTGCAGGCACCACAGAATCAGATCGATCCCTGAATTTCTGGGTCTGGTTCAGGCCCTATTTCTGCTTCAGGAGCTCTGTGAATGCTGCTGAAAATGATAGGCAATGTTGGTGGTTGAGATGTAAATAATATGTAACAATATTACATAGGTACCCAGTTTAGACTTTTTAAATGGCCCCTACTTGCCCTTGAAGGAGCAATGTCTACATAATACGTATTATACTTGGTTCCAAATTCTCTAGACAAGCTTTCACTTGCCCCCTCCACTGCGAGTTGCATGAAGCTTTCTATTCTTTGGCCTCATTCCTTTAAGCTGTGTACCTCAACTCCTGTTTCCTAAAGAACTCTTTTATAGATAACCTGACTCAGTCACAGTATAACAGACTTCAGGGCAATTTTTTTTATCTAGCTCTGGCTCCCAGCACCACAGTGTGAATAAAAACTCAGCGCTGTGCTCTGTTTGTGACAACCAGATTACAGGCCAATCCTTTGGCCAGGATTCCATTTCCCTAGAGAATACGAGGTGTTGAAAGAGATAGGACATAAGAGGCAAAAATGAACAAACTAAGGGAAAGTGGCCTAACACACACACACCACATACAAAACAAGTAAAATACACACACACACACGTGCAGTTCTAATTGCCAACCTCTCCTTTAAAGGATGTTTGACACCAACACCATTTTCTTACCATGCACTCATTCCTTGCCCTCATTTACCACAATTCTCGACCCCTCTCTTCAGGAACCCAGTAGTCCCCTCGATGAATACCATGGTCTTTTCTCAGTTCCTATTCTCTTTTGTGTCTCCTCAACATGTGACATTTCTGATATCCATGATTACTCATTCTCAGATCAGAGTCCTGATTTTCCTCCCAAGATAATCATTAGTTAGTAGCAATCCAAGCCACGTCTTTTTTTTTTTTTTTTTAAGAATCCAAACATTTTGGTACGTTTTACATGTATACTGTGGTTAAATTAAAAGTTTAATACATGCACACAAAATACAGTGGGGCGATCTCATTGGGACATCCTGTCAAAAATCCAGACTTGAGCCACGCATGACTGTGAGGGCCCGCTGTGGCAGGACAGCGACAGGCTCCTCCTGCCTCTCCACCTGGCTTCTACATCTCCTTCAGTAACTCCTTTTCTTGCTGCAAGTCTCACTCCTCAGTCCCAATATCCCTCCACTTACTCTCCCTTGGCCCACTGATCCTGCCTCCCGGCACCAATTATCATTTTATACTAATGAGTAGCCAATTGATTTCCCAAACCTAACCTCTCACCCAAGCCTGGATTCCAACATCTCCAGTTGCCTACAGAATGTCTAAATCTTTCCATCTGCAAACTGAATACATCATCCTCTCTCTGGGTAGCAAACCAGCCTTCCTATTTCTCCTGTGTTAAACCTTATTTCAGCAGAAGCTGAGGGTTCCATGTAGGGCTACCTGCAGAGAAGAAGGTGCCCATCCTATTCGAGCTCTCAGAACTGGGTATGATGGTCTGAGACAGAAAATTTGATCTGAAGAAGCCTGGCAGATAAACAAAGCCAGGTATAATGTACTGGGTAGTAAGCTGTTGTACTTTTCCAGAACAAGAAAGTCCTCGAAGTAAAAGGCAGAACTCTGAAATTTTATGTGGAAACTGAGGCATATGTTATGGGTACAGATGGAGCTTTTAAGGTTGTTCAAACAGTTCAGACAACTATGTCTAAAAGCTATGTCCTTCATGCCATAACTCCAACTCCTATTCATTAGTTACACTCATGTCATGGTAATAAGCTGCAAAATAGAATTTTTAATCACATTAAACTTTTGTTTTTCCCTCCATAAATTATGCACTTTTTGGATTTTTGTAGGCAATTTTTAATCCCAGTGTTATAATGATCTCTCAGGAGTCTCTTTATGGTCTAAGATCATCCAACAGCACGGTGTACGATCTGTCCTCCTCGTAAGTGCACATGGAATCAACCAGTTAGTATCAATGCGCATCTTTTCTTAAGCAAGTTATTACAGCCCTTTGTGTGTCTCTTCACTAAAGATACACTATGAATATTACCACAAGGGAGGAGAGCATGTAATGTTGGCAACCTCTCTGTGAAAAGCCCTTCTAAGTTCAGACATTATGATTGCTTTCTTTCTGAGATTTCTTTTGAATAGAAAAATGTGCTCCTTGGAGTCCTAAGGAGTATTACCTTTGACCTACCCCAAAAGAGGTAAGATAACCATGATTGGATATCAACATTGGGCCACATTTCAGTCCTGGGAAAAGTTATAAGAAGGATTGGAACTTCTTCTCCCTTTTAGAAGAGTCACTCAGTCTTACTCTCAGAAACCTAGCTGTAGGAAGTGGACACCCACTGTCATCTGCCCCAAAAGGTGGAGTGAACAAGGCCACTGATCTGAGTCTCTGGATCCAGACTATTTCAATAGTCGGTGGTTGCCATCTTCACGCTGAAGGCAGAAGCAGTGCATGAAATATCTGAGCATGTCAGGACATTGCATTTTGTAGGAGATGAGGGAAACTGAAACCCTTTGTAGAGTCTATCTCTTAGCATACTGGAATTCCTCTTTCATTGTAGTAAAAAAGGCCAGGTCCAGAGAAAAAAAGCCATCCCAAATTTCGGCGTTTCCTAAGGCACCTGGACTGATATTCCATAGCCATCCAGGGCTACCTCGTCACCACCAGTTGTTGAGGAATTGAAAGCACAACAAACTTTAAATTAAGTATGAGCAAGATATAGTTATGAAGGAGAATTTCCTTTTATATGTGACAAATCAGTATGTATATATTTCAACACTAAAAATAAGTTATTTTTAAACTACCCATTTTTAAATACTCTACGTAAATATTCCTGTAGGATAGTTTTTTTTTTTTTTAAAAAAGCATTGATTCTATTTACAAAGCAAATATGATACCATATTAAACTAATATGGTTAATATGCAGGGATATGAACTGAATGAAGATCAAGCTTTACTTTTGGACAACAGATATTTTTCCAAGAGACTTATCAGGATTACAGAGGAGAATGTGGCTGGATTCCTCCAGCATGTGGTGGCCTACCCTAACAAAATTTCTATCAGGGAATTTTTGTTTTGTTCTTATTCTAACTCAAGCAAATTTATAATTCAATTTCCATCACAAATAAATCAGAAGGAAGTTTTGGTGAATTTACCTTGTAAAAGGAAAATTGGAAAAGAGAAAACAGCACAAGATTATATAACGCATAATGACATTTGCCCGAGAAATTCTGTAATTAACATAAACCAGACATATTTAGTGAAATGAGAGTTTGTTGTTTACCATTCAGCTAGCGGTTCTAATATATTTTTCTTTACTCTTCTGTTTTTTTCTATTCTTAATATAACCTATCCCTACAAACATGCTCATGACCAGCCAACTTACAACGGTTTCTTGACATTATCTTAAATTAAAATTTTATCCTCATCAATCTCATCAAATGCAAACTTGTGCAAAGATACTGAGTCCTCACATTTCCTTCCCCAATTTCCGTAGTTCTCCTAATCTCTGATTTCCACTCCTACAACTCTTGTGAAAACTGCTCATGAAGACTGTTACTAATAACCTAATCCCCACGTCCAACAACCTTTCTCCATCTTCATCTCAATCCATTTTAATCAATATTTGACCCCACTAATCTCCTCCTTTTCCTTGAAACTTACTTTTTGGCAGTTTTATTCTGGCTGATCTCCTAGATTTCTTTCTGATAGTCCCTTTTCAATCCCTACCTCTTTTACTCAGTGAGGGTATTTCATTGGCTCTCACTTCTCCTCTTTATAAACAACCCATAGTTCATATGGCCCCGTTCTTTATCTCCTCTGTCTCATTTTCCTAGGCTTAAACACCTGGAGAAATTTTCTCTTACCATTCCCCTCAAAATATGAGTTTATCTAACGGAGATTTAGTAAAGCAAATGCTCTCTCCACAGAGAGATATCTTTGGACTTCTAAAAATTCAACACTGTTCTCAACTGAATTTTCTCAATTTGTGTTAATAATAGAGACAAACTCCATAATTCTTGTCAATGACAGCTCCCCTCAGAAAATTGTTTAAGAAAATGGACCTTTGCAGTCCTCTAAGAGTGAAGGGATGTTTAATAACACAAGTACCAGTACATCTCTTTGCTCCTTTAGGATATCAACACCAACTTTCATCTGGGATCAGGGCAGATGCTTAAAACATCATAGCAAGACTATCCTTTTTTCATTGTCCAGAGCAGATGCAGATTCTCCTCACTTCTTCCCCAAATTCACCCATATAATACTGAACTAATACCATGATACAGCAGAAATATACAAGAGTATATACCTAAGTTAGGTCCCTGCTTAGTTTTGATGGTGTAACTTGAAGGGAAGTCCATTCATTTAGCAAGATTTAAGGGGAAAAAAAAAGCAGATCAAACAAAGTCAACCACAGATCTATTCTTAGTTTCAGTTCTGTGTCATCAACAGTCCTGAAACCCAGAAGCAAAGGTTACTTGACTGACCCTACCTGAGAACTTCAGTGTAGCCCATTGTTGATGCAATCTTGAACTCAACAAAAACTGGCAGCAATAATCCCCCTACATACAGGCTAAAATTGTCATTGTCATTTCCCCTTAAAGTCATTGCATTAGTCCATTGTATGTTTCATTTGGAAAGTCCTTGCTTTGTCCATGAATCTCTTTCCTCACTCCTAGTAGTTTTTTTTCAGACCTGCAAGTATTCACTTGGGACTTGAGTAACTTCATGCTCAGGATATGTACAATATAAAGGTGACTTCTGGACAAAGGACTGGTTTCAGGAATCATGAAAGTCTGTGAGAGACCATACGAAAGTCTTAATCTTGCAAGTCACAGTAACCATACATTTTACAGCTAAACAATTGGTGTTCCTACATCATATTTTTGGTAAATGACAATTTGACCAATATGAGTTATCATTTGATTCCATGAGCTTCTATAACTTATGATTTCAGACTGGGCCTTTAGGTTCTGGCTCACTTGTAGACATTCACAGTGTATGCTCTCTTGTGATGGTTAATTTCTCTTTAGTATATCTTAGAGAAAATGCTCTAAACCCACATTTAAAAATGACTCTGCCATAGTAGCATTGTTCACAATAGCTAAAATGTGGAAGCAACCCAATAGTCCATCAATGGATGAATGGATAAACAAAATGCAGGTATATACATACAATGGAATATTATTCAGCCATAAAAAGTGTGGAAAGTCTGACATAAGGTACAATATGGATGAACCTTTAGGACATTATGCCAAGTGAAATAAGCTGATCACAAAAAGACAAATACTGTATGATTCCACTCACCTAGAGTAGTCAAACTCATAGAGACAGAAAGCAGAGGAGTGGTTGCCAGCGACCAGAGGGAGGGAGGACTGGGGAGTTATTTTTTAAAAGTTAGAGTTTCAGTTTTGAAGATGAAAAGAGTTCCAGAGATGGATGGTTGTGATGTTTGCAGAAGAATGTGAATGTACTTAATACCACTAAACCATACACTTAAAAATGGTCGTGATGGTAAATTTTATGTTATGTGTAGTTTACCACAGTAAAAAGAAATTAGGAAGAAAATGACTCTGGTACTATATCATCCTAGGACAAATGTGTATCTTTCCTTCCCAATGCAATTTTTTCTCATGATATCAAGTCCTCATCCTCTCAAACACTCCTATTTACACTGCATACAGTCAGGTTCTTATTTCAAATACAATATTTCAGTGGTCGATGATAGCTTCAGTTAATTCCAAGTGGTGCAGATTGAAGGATGGTTACTAAACCTTCAGACATCAAAAGACAAGCAACAGAGTCCTCAGTAACCGAGCTGGTGATCACTTGCCCACCTCGGGTTCATATTTACTTACCGCACTGACTAGCATCTGTCTGTCTGGTGAACCTCAGTCCCAGTAATCCAGGCAGCCGCAAAAAATCACAGCCGGCTCTGATCAAATGCGCTCCAGCTTGAACCAGGTAGTTTGGATTTGTACAGAGCAGTGTGAGTCTAGATCTGTGCTTTTAAGCCACTTGACTATATTGTCTCAATGAAACATAAGAACACTTAAAAATATAATTTATATTATCAACAATATATTAATTACAATTATTATATTACAAAGATTTGAGAGTCACTAACTCTATGTAAAGAGAAAAATCTGAAATCATTAAGATTAGTTTCGTAAGGGCGAAAATGTATGTATCAAATTTAGAAAGCCAATAGAAACAAAGAACAGTAAATTAACTCCTTTAAAAAAGGGAGAGGTAATTTATAAAATCAAATTTAGAAATTCTTCCAGAACTAAAAGAAAAAGAAAATGTAGTTGAAGATAATAGAAAAGTTAAGAGACTTGCTAAATAAACTGTGGTACATCCATACTTTGGAATACTACTCAGCAATAAAAAGGAGTGAACTATTGATACCTGCAACAACTGAGATGGATCTCAAGGGCATTATGATGAGTGAAACAAGCCAATCTCAAAAAGTCACATACTATTTGATTCCACATACAACATTCTCAAATTATAAAATTATAGCGATTGAGGAGAGGTTAGTGGTTTCCAGGGGCTAGGGATGGTAAGGGGTAAGGGGTATGACTATATAAAGGAGGAGACATATTTGTGTAGATGGAATAGATTTATATTTTGATTGTTGTGGTGATTACAGAAATCTATGCACGTGACAAAATGGCATAGAACTATACATACCCACTGTACCAAAATTCCTGCTTTGATTTTATAATATAGTTACATAAGGTATAACCTTTGGGGTAATATGAATGAAGCACATAAAAGATTTCTTTGTAGTATTTTTGCAATATACCACAAATCAATAATTATTTCAAAACAAAAAGTTTAAAAAAAAGATAGGCGTGGTCACTAAATCAAAGAGATCTAGTACACATATATTGAAGAAAGAAATTGAAGAAAGTAATAATTAATAAGAAATAGAAGAAAATTATGCTAAGCCAAATAAATATTTGAGTTTCTGTTTCATAAAAGCCAATCAGGCAAAATCAATGTAATGTAACCCACAGCTACAAATATCTTTGAAATTTATGGTCCTCAAGGATAATGAAAAGTCTTAAAGTCAGAAATTACAAATAATACGCAAATGAAAAATAATTCATGTTGACATTACACTGTCTTTCTATACTACCAAAATTTAGTAGCGACTAGAGCAATTCCTACGCAAATAGCTTTTAAAATTTGAAATTACTTCCAAACCTTATTTAAAATGCAGATTTTCGGAACTTATCTCCACAGACTCTGAGGCAGATGGCCCAAGAATCATTATTTGAGTAAAACTGTTCTACTGAATTTTGCAGAGAAATCACCATGTATTTCTGCCCTTCTTACACCTGTAAGAAGGAGGAAAGAGGGTGAATTTTCATCCCATCTCCTTTTTTGGTGAATAAATTAAGTAAAAGACTATCTCCACAAGAGATAACTACATATTATTTTAAAGTAAAGTCACCTCAGTTTGGATTCTTGTCCTCTCCCTGGTGACACCGCCAGAAACGAAGAAAGTATCTTAGCAACCTAAAGGCAATGGAGATAAAAGAGGTGTAAGAAAAGCACAATGCCTGAGGCAAGTCTTTAAAACAGAGTTTCTTACATCTCTTTCTCTTACCCAAACTTCAGGTTGTTAATGCATTTATCAACATAATTTTATTTTTAAGTAACTCTTGGTGGAAAAGGGACACATTTGATCGATAAAGAGGCTATAAGAAAGCAATTTGTTCCAAGAACCAAGGAGCACACAGATAACTCAGTTCTTCATTAAACCTTTTCCCCACCTTGATTGACATGGGCCCTAACTTTCAAGAGATTCAACCTGGCAGCTTCAATAAAAAAGTGGATCCTGTCTCTCCCTCAATATTTGCCAAAAAGGACAGAAAACAAACATTTCTTTTGATAATGTCCACTGCGGGCACTAGTTTGGGTCAGCTCCATGAGTGTATCCATACTTAGGTTTTTTCCCTCCACTGTTTAAAACACTTTCACTGCTCTAGAGTAAATAGGAGGCAAACACTGGATTAGTCACAAGTCTAACCAGGAAACAGAAATCTTCTCCTGGGGCCGGTCACGTGGCCGAGTGGTGAAGTTTGCACGCTCTGCTTTGGTGGCCTAGGGTTTTGCCAGTTTGGATCCTGGACTGGGACATGGCACCGCTCATCAGGCCATGCTGAGGCAGCGTCCCACCAAGCACAACCAGAGGACCTACAGCTAGAATATACAGTGATGTACTCGGGGGCTTCGGGGAGAAGAAGGATTAAAAAAAAAAAAATGACTGGCAGCAGATGTTAGCTGAGGTGCCAATCTTTCAAAAAAAAGAAACTAACTCCAGCGTTCACAATAGAGGGGATGGAAAGCATGGTGGGTCCATGGAGGATGGAGAGGCTGAGAGTCAAACAAGAGGCTGTAAATTAACCCTGGACATTGGCAATAGCAGGACGTCTTTATCAGCCTTAAGCAGGAGGGACCATGAGAAAACACACAATTATTGGAACCAAGAGGCCAGGATGACCCCATGGAAACTGGAAACTATGGTTGTTCTGGATGTAGTGGAGGCTGGAGCCACAGAGGAGAAAAAACCACTAGAGAAGCCATCTAGGCTGAGGTGAAAGGGGTGTCTTGATTTCCCCCTCGCCTAAACCCACTCCTCACCCTGCCCTCCAATCTCCCACCACTGACTTAAGCCTGCCCCTCCTTGACTTAATCCTGCCAGAAGTTGGCCAACACTGGAACCTGGAAAAGTCAACCTGCAGGGTATCATCTGTACCCTCACCCTATAGAGCAGAGTAGGAGAGGGGCGAAAGATGGGACTGAGGGCAAACAAGCTCAGGACCAGCACACCCTCTGCTAAAATGATTTTATAGCGTTAGATCATGTAAAATCGCACTTAATTCAACCTTTTCATTTTATAGAGAGGAAATGAGGTCCAGAGAGATTAAACCACTTACCCAAATGCACATACACAGCAAGCTTTTAGGTCCCATCTTACAGAGTGCTTTTATTAGGGTCTACTATCCATTGTGAAACTGTTTCCAGTTTCATTTTAGCCACATTATGAAGTGCTTGGTAGCTGGGGCCACTTCAGATTCATCTGAATCAGCATCTGGTACCTAGAAAACACCCAAGAAAATACTGATTGAACTAATAAAGAGAAAACATAGCCCATCAACTGATTTAAGTAGTTTTAAATAACTTCCAGTCAAATGTGGTTTACTGAGCAAGTTAAACAAAGGAGACTGCCAAAATGACATCTATTAATGTTTTAAAAGGCAGCACACATTCTCACTGACCTGTGATGGTTTAAGCTCCTACCATTCAAAACAGGGACAAAGATATGATCCTCTTGTAACTACCATACAGACTTTTCATTTGGAATAATTGATAAACAAGGAGGTCAGCAATAAGAAAACTGTTCAGGTTGTATAGAGCAGAGATATACAAATAAAAAAAGAATAAATATTTATGTGGTCACGTGTGGGAGGCATTGCCTGGAGTATTTCCTCAACAGCCATGACTACAGAGCAGAAATGGAAAAATAGGAAAAAATATACTCAAAGACAGATATTTAAGGAACATGATGTTCAGCTGGAGGAGCGATGACTCATGCTGCTGCTAGTAGTGGTTTAGAAACAAAAGACAGACGTCTGCTAGAGATCTCGCGTTTTCTTCGGCTACCATTTCTCTTTAAAGCTACTGCTGGAAGGAAAGAAAGAAGGAGGAAGGAGGGAAGGAAGGAAGGAAGGAGGGAAGGAGAGAAGGGGAGAAACCAAGGAAGGGTAGGCAGGGAGAATGCAAGCTGAAAACCCAGTCCTTGGCTTTGGCCAAACAGCAATATACATGTTTAACAGCTCATTTTACTGACAGCTCAACTTAAGTGGAATTAATGAAACTCCTATATCACTTAAAATTTGAACATTGCTTCACTTCTTTCATCCATGAAAAATTAACATGCATTGGGTTAATGTAATAACACCTGATGGAAGTCAAAGAAATTACAATTCAAAATTTAGGAGAAAAGAAAATATTTAATTTGAAGTGAACAGAATCTGAAAGATAAAGAGAGAATGGTTAAATAAATTAAAAGCATTTACTTTGAAATTTATAATTATTGGGAGATTTTTTTCAGGAAGCTTCCTAGGAACCAGGAGAGAAGCTGTGATCAGTCATTAGTCACCCAACCACTGGCTGCTAGTTTAGGGCTGAGTGGAAAAGAGATCAAATGTGTAGGAAAGGAGGAGGGAAGGGGGAGGGGGAGAGGGAGGAACTATTTTGTTTCAACAAAACTATGCAAGGTAAAATTCCAGCCAAGCTTTCTGAGAGAAGTCACCCTGGGGACAGAAGTGATGGTAGATTTGAACCTTCTATAAAGAATCCAAGAAAAACACTAAATGTTTTGTAAATTAAAGATTTTTTTTCTAGGTGGCTGAAATAAAATGAAATTTTAAGTAGTTGACATGTTATGCAAGTTTGTTTTCAACAACAGTTTACGTTAGTGGGTTTATGTCAGGAGAAAATATATAAAGGAAATTAAGAAGAAAAGAATTAGTATGAGACCTCAAAGTAAGTGTCGTATAGGTGATGAGTAACTTAAGGCAATTTCAGCTACATCAGGGTTTTCCCTTTATTTTCTTATGAATAAGAACATAATTTTATTACCCTGTAGACAGAAAAATAAACTAGAAAAAAATGAGGAGAGGAAACTCAAAACTTGCATAAAATAGGGCAAATTCGATTTAAAAAGGAATGCTCATATTTTGAGTGCTGGCCAAAAGGTAAAGGCATTTCTCAGAAGAAAGGCAATATCAAAATTTAAAATTTTAAGAGTCTGTATTAGAAAGACATTATCATTACCCAGGTAGTATTCTTGCCAAAAATATTTTGTCTAAATGCAATCATGAAGAAATAATCAGACAAATCCAAATTAAGAAGAAGCTGTAAAAGGAATAACATTAATTCTTTGTTAATATAAAAACATAAAACAGGGGCTGGCCCCGTGGCCGAGTGGTTAAGTTCGCGCGCTCCGCTGCAGGCGGCCCAGTGTTTCGTTGGTTCGAATCCTGGGCACAGACATGGCACTGCTCATCAAACCACGCTGAGGCAGCATCCCACATGCCACAACTAGAAGGGCCCACAACAAAGAATATGCAACTATGTACTGGGGGTCTTTGGGGAGAGAAAGGAAAAAAATAAAATCTTTAAAAAAATTTAAAAAAAACATAAAACAAATTTCAAAGGCAGAGAAACTGTTCTTCCCCATCTCGCATCCATGTGGTAGGATTCAACTTCCTGACCACCTTGCAGTAGGTGGGGTTAGGTGACTAGTCCCAGCCAATAAGTGATGAGCAGAAGTGACAAGCCACTTCTCAGCCAGAGTATTCAATTTCTGATGAGAAATCCACCAGAGTTCTCTCTTTTGTCTCCGGCACAGCAGACTAGCAGTTTCCTAGGTAGTGGCTGCCCTATCAGATGAGTTCCCAAATGACCATCATGAGCAGAGGTCTCCTACTGACCCGTGATGGGCAGTGTGATCAAGTGGGAGCCATCTAGTATAAGCAAGAAATAGACATCTGTTGTTTAAGCACTGAGATTTAGGGATGGTTTGTTACCAGAGAATTACCTAGTCTATCCTAAGAGATAGATTAATCAAATTTCAGAGTATATCTGTGAAAGGTGTGTGGTTCCATAGTTTGGCCCATCATACAGCAAGTGAATGGCTGCTGTATAGTACTTATATTGCTTACACATTTAACACAAAACTCCTGGTTTAAATGAGCTCCTGAATTCCTTGTTTATTAAAGACATTATAAGATGCATAATATTTGTATAATTGGCTTTCTATAAACAAGATATTCCTATAGTTCTTTATAGAGTTGTATTAACATTAGATAGATCATTCTTCATTTATCTTCATTGGTTCTGAGCAACTGGAAAAAGAAAAATTTACTAGGAGAACTCATGAACATAGTATCTTGAAAGGAAAAGCTAAAGTAGTATTTTGTAGAAGGCATTAGTCCCTTTGTCAATCAAATGAAGATGAACTATTCATTAGAACTTAATCTTAAGGAATCCAAGAAATAGAAGCTAATGGACAACATGTGACTAAAGAGTAAATTAGCTGAGTTTTATTCCAAGAGTTACCACCATGAACTGTGTAATTTTAGCCAAGTCATTCAAATGCTTTGAATTTTTTTCACGTGTAGAGAAGATTATTTCAGCCCAACCAGGCCTAAAAGAAGGACCAAATCCTTGTCAGTCCTTTGGCCGAAGTACAAAATATCATGTTATTTGGATTATTTATTTATACCCCCACTTTGTTTCAAAAAGCATTTAAAGTAGAATTCATATTCTTAGTTTACCAAAACATTAAAAAAAAACCCTCGAGTAAACCCACAAAGGTTATAGCTTTCCGTTATCATACTTCCCAGATTATTTGAAGCATATTGTAGAATTTATTCACTCATGAATTTTATACACACTAAAGTGAAAATCTCTTCTCTAGAGCCTCATAATAGCTAGAAAACCTAGCAACTGAGAAAAAGGAAGATCGTATTGACAAGAAGTCTGTGTTTGCCTTCCTATGTAAGTTTTGCAATGTCTTGCTCCAGATACCAAAATAGTTGCATTTACCCAAAAATAAAATACTCAAATCTCTGTAAATTAAGGATTATGATTTGATTATATGTATTGTGAATTATAAGGTATGTATAAATCAGAGTACCTTTTTCACCAAATAGTAAATATTCAGTATGATGTTATGGTCTTAATCTTCCAATGTATATGTATATAATCTAAAATATCAAAACATCACTGACCTTACAACAGGATAATTATATATAAAAGGTAATTAACTTAGGCCAGATAAATTTTTTTGTGTTTGTGACAAAGATGGCCTTGAGCTAACATCTATTGCCAATCTTCCTCTTTTTGCTTGAGGAAGATTGTCCCTGAGCTAACAGCTGTGCCACTCTCCCTCTATTTCATGTGGGATGCCGCCACAGTGTGACTTGATGAGTGGTGTGTAGGTCCTGGCCCAGGATCCGAACCTGCAAACCCCAGGCCACCCAAAGGGAGGGCAAAAACTTAATCACTATGCCGCTGGGCCAGTCCCAAACCAGAAAAACTTGAACAGCCTAATTTTAACTACTCAAAAACAAGGTAAATGTTTTTAAATTATTCCTTTTGTAAAACACAATTTTACAGGGTGTTACTAACTAAAAATCTACTATACTTTTGGATTTTCAGAGGTCTTCAAAAATATTAAAGCATAAGTTCCTGTAGATTGCCCAATTGTTAAACATCCCATTTCATGAGATATTTTGTAAATTTTGCAGTGGTGTACTAGACAGAGCATATTGGGGGTAGTATTAACCACCTTTTAAAGATATTGTAAACGATAAATGAGGCTATTCAATTGCATTCGGTAAGTTAACAACGCCCACCGTGAAAATCGTCCATGATGCAACAATAAAATTATACAGGCAAAGCTCCTACCAGAAATCAAGTACTTATTAATTAATGCTTACTTCCCCTTTCCCTCAACCCGACTCAAACCCCTAATAAATGTAAAGAGAATCAGGAACATTTTAAGAATATTCTTCAGCTAATATAAAATAGGATATCTGAGGATTCACCCATCTATCTTAGACTACAGCTTGTTCCACGACTATTTTTGCGACTAAGGATACCAAAATTAGACATTATTTTTATCTCTAAATTTCAAGGCAGTTGTTAAGAGCTGTGATTAAATTACCAAAATAAAGAATTTTGGAGGAATAATGAAAATGGACTACAAATTAAACTGATTATCACATATTCTATCTGGTGATTTGAGAGGCCACTTCTCATTGTACACTATAATTCAATGAAAAAATAGCATACACAAAGCAAGTAGTTAGGAATAAGAAAAATTCAGACTTAAAATGAGCCGTCAATGTAATGTGCCTTGTTAGAGATGAATAATAATTAAAAGATGCCCCAAGGGCTAAGTAAGGCTTTTTTTCTGTTAGAGAATACTACAGAAGAGGGGGCTTTAGTAAACAATTCAATCAAAATGGCCAAATCAATGATTCTTACAGCAGTTTCCTGTTCTTGACAACTGAGCCTTATTATA